TCTCGGTCCCCCCTCCCACCTCCCTCTCCACCCGATCCCTCTGGGTCTTCCCAGTGCACCAGGCCCGAGCACTTGTCTCATGCATCCAACCTGGGCTGGTGATCTGTTTCACCCTAGATAATATACATGTTTCGATGCTGTTCTCTTGAAACATCCCACCCTCGCCTTCTCCCACAGAGTCCACAAGTCTGTTCCATACATCTGAGTCTCTTTTTCTGTTTTGCATATAGGGTTATCGTTACCATCTTTCTAAATTCCATATATATGTGTTAGTATACTGTAATGGTCTTTATCTTTCTGGCTTACTTCGCTCTGTATAATGGGCTCCAGTTTCATCCATCTCATTAGAACTGATAGCCAAAGTAACCTTGAGAAAGAAGAATGGAACTGGAAGAATCAACCTGCCTGACTTCAGACTATACTACAAAGCCACAGTCATCAAGACAGTATGGTACTGGCACAAAGACAGAAATATAGATCAATGGAACAGAATAGAAAGCCCAGAGATAAATCCACGAACTTATGGTCACCTTATCTTCAACAAAGGAGGCAAGGATATACAATGGAAAAAAGACAACCTCTTTAACAAGTGGGGCTGGGAAAACTGGTCAACCACCTGTAAAAGAATGAAACTAGAACACTTTCTAATGCCCTTCACTTTTCTAGAATCTCCCTGCTTTCCCTCTGGTCTTTTCTCTTATTATTTTTTTTTTCTAATTTGCTGTGAACCAAACTATTAGATGTCCATCCTATCAACCTTTCTAGAATTGGGTGTAAAATTAGTTCTAAGTGAAGGCCTGGGAAGCTTCCAGGAGCAAGTAAAAGGATTTCTGCATGTTGATGGCTCATAGGTCATAACTCTACATTCACAGTTACCTCTTAAGTACCAGAACTCTAAATAAATGGCCTCTAAGTGCTGTTCTTATTATATCACAATAATACATTGAAAAAACATTAACAAGTAATTATTTTGTTTATACAGCCCAGTTGAAGTTCCTTGAAACTTACAACTGCTCTGTTAGGTGATAGAATAACCCAATGCATCAGAACCTAGGATCTGTCCTAAATAACATGTTGCTTTGGTATAAAGTGTAAACTATATTTATAGTGTAAACTATAAATCACTGAGGACTTAGAGCAGTGATACTCAGACCTGCAGATTTTAAAGCACCTTTCATCTGCACACAGCATTTCTTTAATATTTCTGCAAAAGAATACTTGAGAATAATATAGGTCTTTTGAATCATTCGAAAGTTGAAATCTCTTCTACTGGTCAAGATTTCTTAATCTGGTGTCCACAGAGCATTGTTCCCAACTTCCCACCCTATTCCATTGATGGGCTCTATGTATGCCAAATTCTGCATTTGTATGTCTGTGTATATAGAATGTGTTCTGACATCTAAAGAAGAGTCTCTAGCCTACAATGTCTATGTATCTTTAGAGAATGGTATTTGTAAATGTGGCTCCAGTCATAGTACATTGAATACCATGGGATTATATTGCATTTTCTAGTCAGAAACTGATGAAGATAAACTTTCGACTTGAGGAAAACAGAATCTTTCAAACTGAGAAATACTATAATTTTAAAGCATAGCTCTTGGTTCCTAAACTTTTTCCCAAACTGTGGTTGACACTGCCAGTTGTTTCTTAATATGTTTTTCCCTTTTCCCCATAATGGTATATATATATATTTTTCTAGACACATTGTCACCCAGCAAAATACTACCTTTCCCAAACTCCCTCATACTTAGGCATAGCCCTTGTGGCCAAGTTCTAACCAATGAGATTTATGTAATTTCAAGGGTTTTCTTTACCCTTTTTACTTTTCTTCCTCTCTGCAGGCCTGAGCTTTATTTTGGCTTACAGTTGTGTCATTACTTGAGGGCGAAATAAATTTCTATCTCATTTAAGTCACCATTATTTTGGCCTTGAATAGAAACTGATCCTATGGCGCAATACAAAAACTTTATTCCAAAAAGACATTGAAGAAATTGTCAGATACTTAAGTTCAGTATCTATTTTTTAATCTTTATTGAATTTGTCACAATATTGTTTGTTTTATGTTTTGGCCCCAAGGCATATGGCATCCTGGCTCCCCAATCAGGGATGGAAACCTTACCCCCTTCACTGAAAGTCTTAATAACTGGACCATCAGGGAAGTCCCTTCAGTAAGTATTTTAAGGTTCCTAAAAGCTTAATTTCTAGTCACTTGGCAAACTGATAAATCCATAATTTAGCTATGTAGTTCTCAACCAAGATCAAGTAAATAAATCAATAATTAAAAAATATACACTTGATACTTTGGCAGTTTTGCTCTAATATCAGGACATTACACCATTATATAAAATAATAATAGAAAGAGTAATGTGATGGATTGTGTCTAAGGAATCTGAAATAGTAGTCAAGTAAATTTTGCTTTTCCCAGTGCTAACCTCCTAGGGTTCCAATACTGGCCATGGGCAAATTTGGCTGAAGCTAAGAGCTAGGACCTATAATCAGAACTTTGAGCATAGTGGGTACTTGTTGACTGTGGATTACCACTGGCTGACTCCTAAATTCCAGAATAGTCTTATACCTATGTCCTATCTTCTCAGCTTATCTAGAGGTATAGGATTAGACCACCTGTGATATCAGGTCTTGCTTTTTTTACTCAAAGAAATGTATTCTAATGCAGAGAGGTTAAAAAAAGATAGCAATTTTCTAAAAGGGTATTGGGAAAGAGAGAGTTTGGGAGTCTTCTGACTGAATCCTTGGGATCCTGAAAGGTTGAGGTCTGAGTGAGACCTCAAACTTGCATCTACCTCCTCAGGTTAAAATATTCATAGGTTAAGATATTTATGGAAAAAAAAAAAAGGTATTCATGGAAACATGAATGATGTCAAAAGGCTGTCTTTAAATCTTGACCTGGGAGTACTGCTATATTTCCTGAAACAATCTAGGGAAGGGAAAAATTTACTTACATTGCAACATGGTGTGATCTCTTCCATTAGATTATATACTCCAGAGGGGATTTTAACTGTAATATTGCCAGAGCATAATGCTGACATGTAGAAAACTCTCAATGAATGAATGTAGAATTTGCTTCCCTGTGTGCTTTGGGATTTAATAGTATGCAATAATCCAAAAAAATTCTTTAATTGAAAAAATTTATCTACTTATATACAAAGTTAATTTTGGTAGCATTTAATTATTTTAGGTTTCAGTATGACCAAAGGTAATTTGGCCTGTGATTAACATTTAAATCTATAATTCCATGGCTCTTAGAAGAAGGAATCCTGGAATTGAATCCAGCTATACCAATAACTTACGGTGTGATCTTGGGAAACTGTTTCCTCAATGGAAAATGAAGGAAATATTTTTTCTGAGCTCTGAAATTCTGATTTTAGTGCTTAGTATATAATAGGTTCTCAGTATTTACTGAATGAGTAAGTAATTCTATGTTATACTTAGGGCCTCATATTTAATTAGCAATAAATTGAAACATTGCTTAAAAGCTTTTACTATATCTAAATAGCAAATATTTCTGAAAACTATTTCTTGGTAAGCATTTCAAACTAAGTAATTTTAATCAAATATGAGAAAATTTGTTTTTGCATATCTGACCACAGAAGTAATAAGTCTCTCCAACTGCTCACTGTCATTATTATCACTTTTAATAGCTCAACCTAAGAAATATAGACAAAATATAAAGCCAATGACTGTATTTTGTACATTTAATTGGAAATCATATATATTAATTTCAACCTTGTTACATATACTCATATTCAATGGCCTTCAAAAATAGCAATTTTATATGGTTCAAACTAAATATATTTAGTACTGAATACCGTGTTTAAGAAATAATATGACAATAAGGGTTTCAAAGCTTCTCCTCCTTTTTAGGCCTATCACTTCCTGCCTTTTAGGTGTGTGGCAAATATTTTCCTAAAATTTGAGACTCTTGTCTCTCCTACACCGCATCAACTTGTGGTTTAAAACTAGTATATGTCACAGTATTTTTGTTTTGCTAACTCCCCTAAAAGGCTAGTTGGAATAATCAATCGCTTCACAGAGAGAATATACTGGGAGTTCCTTAATGTTCCTTGATTATTTAGGTCAGTGGTTCACTAACTTTTACATAATAATCATTGGAGAACTTATTCAAACACAGTTTTCTGAGCCCTATACCACAGATTGTGATTCAGTAGGTCAGGACTGGAACATGAATCTGCTTTTGTTACACACACATTACACTTATGCTCATGGATATTAGGTATAGAAGCGACTTACTTGTAATAAGGTCTTTTTTTTTTCCTTTGGTCTTTCAGCAAATAAAACTCAAGTTAATGAGGTATGAGATAAATTCCCTTAAGCCAAAATCACTTCTTATAAAAGTACTACATTAACTCAATTGTAAGATAACCATAAATTGGATTTATTTTGACTTAGTTTTTGTCAATTTCAGTTCTACAGTTTCAGGACAACTAACTCCAAGGAATTTAGTCACCTGTTCCTTCTTTAGAACTGCACTGTGCTCTGGCTTTCCAGAGCGCAAGGGTCGCCGGGGCCCTGCCGATGGAGTTCTAGGCCAGGGTCACTTTTTTTAACTTGCGTTATCAGAGGCAGAGCGTCCAGCTTGACAAACTGCAGAAGGTTCCCGATAGGGAAACCCGTGAGCGCCAATCTAGGAGACCAAACCGACCCGCTGCGGTCGACCAACCCAACCCCGGGGTCCCTGGGTCCTCCTCGGAGCCCAGGGAGACAGGAGTGGGGAGAGGGAGCCCCTGAAGGAGAGCCACAGGCAGGTCTCAACCCGCCGGAGATCACGCTGCTAATCTGTGGTCCAAACCGCCCGCCGCCTCCGAGCAGTCGTCGGATTGCCGCCCCCCAGGGAGCCACTCGGCCCAAGAAGCAGCACAGCCCCGGCTCTCTTGCTCCGGAGAGGCTCCGCAGGCCGGCATCGAGGCAGGCGAGCTCGCCCCGGCATCTCAGCCCACGCCGTGGTCCACTGTCTTGCGAAGATGTCCGCCAAGCCCTCTGTCGGCTTCGTGAACGAGGCTTCTCGGCAGATCCTGGCCGGTGGCTCTGCTGGTAAGGCCGCCCCGCCCCGCCGGGGGCTAGCAGCCTTTCCTTTTGCGTGTTCCGAAAACCTTTCTCCGAAAAGTCTCCCCGCCATAGGTCTTGCCTTCTTCCTCTGCCTTCCGCGCTCCGGGTTCAGAGCCTGACTAGCCCGAGCCCGCGGAGCGCGGGAGTAAAGAAAGCCGGGATCAGGCGGCGGGCCCCGGGTGTCCCAGGTCAGGTCGCCGCGGCGCCTGCGGCGGCCGCTCTCGAGTTCCCCGCCTTCTGTGTTCCTAGCCTGGAAAGCAAGGTAGGCAGCAGTCCCGAGGCCTGCCACTTTCAGGAGGTCTTATAGCCTGGCTGGCTATTCTATTTGAAATGATCCAGTTTGCGTTAGACTTAGTTGTGCTATTCATTATAGCCTCTTTTTCCCCCAGCTAACTCAGATGCTACGTATTTCTACCTCCCTCGTTAAAGTATGTGCCTCGGGACTCCACAGGTTTTCTTATTGCATCCTGTTTCTTGCTTGCAGCTATTCCTGCCTTAATAAGCATATTAAAATTAAATGAAAATGTTGACGCATATAAACACCTTTGACATAATAGGCTCACAGTAATTTATGGAGCGTTATGCTGTAGGGAAGAATCTTTAGGAAGAAATCTGTTATAACTAACCACGGAAATAATTACTAAGTGTGGCCAAGAGAGAGTTACTAACACAGGAGTTACATTATGTGAATGTATTTTAAAGCTATTTTAAAATATAAATTATGAATTGATTGAAAATTTAATCTTACAAATTGTGATATATTTTATTACAAATATATAAAATAATTACTGTAATTGACTCATCACCATAAAACATTTTTTAAAATGTCCTTATTTATTTATTTAGCTGCTCTGGGTCTTAGCTGCTGCATTCAAATCTTTAATCTTTCTTGTAGCAAGGGAGTTCATTAGTTGCAGCAAGTAAAACCTAATTCCCTGACCAGGCATGGGACTTGCGCCCCCTGCATTGGGAGCACCAAGTCTTAGCCCCTGGACCACCAGGGCAGTCCCAAAACATTTTTTAAAATGTAAATACCCCTTAAAAAATTATGGTAATACTAGTAAATCATATTAAGATGACTGAATGTCTAATGTCTACCTTTGACTAGCAAATTTTATTTTCAAACAAATTTGAACTTTGTATAAAGGACTGTTACAAATTATGACTATTTATCATCCTGGCACAAGTTCTTTGCATCTAAGAGGACCACAAGCTGATGTATCACTTACAATCTACACTTTTCTAACTATGACATTTCATTAATATGGCAATCAAGGCATTCATTTCTTATACGTAATTGTGCTGTGTCTATTCATTATGTTGTCGGTGCCCCCACTTTCTACTTTTTAGTTGTTCCCTGTAGTGATAATGAATTTGCACCAATTTACTCACCATTTTGGTCAAATTCCAAATGTCCAAGACCGTCAACTGTTCTTGATTTGCTTGATTTGGAGTCCACAACCCTTATTAAATAAAACTCAGCTGGCCCAGGAGGGAAATATAGTTCATTGGTGAACATCCTAACCTGGGACTAGTGATTCATACCTGCATTTGTGCATGCTCAGTCACTTCAGTTGTGTCCAGCTCTTTGCGACCCCATGGTCTGTAGCCCGCCATGCTCCTCTGTCCATGGGATTCTCCAGGCAAGGATGCAGGAGTGGGTTGCCATGCCCTCCTCCAGAGGATCTTCCCTACCAGGGATCGAATCTGTGTCTCTTGGGTCTTCTGCACTGCAGGCGTTTCTTTACTACTGAGCCACCAGGGAAACAGGAGACTGACTTGTTTTTTTTCAATTCCAGTGTACGATGCTGGGGTGAGACTCAAAATAATCCAGTATTGGTCAGAGGCCCACCTCTGTACCAATCAGTTGTAGCCAATCCCCACTGGAAGGGGTGAGGATCTCAGGGCAAATTATTTTCCAAAGAAGTTGAAACACATCATGAGATGGGCAGTTGGTGTCTTTTGTAATGATATATGTGTATCTTTTGTTAAAAGATGTTTGTAATATTTGCATTTAAAAGACCAAATGATGCACGGGTAGTTGCTTGGATAATACATATCTAAAGACTTGTCTTGAGTTTGTAGCTATAGCTATTATATTGTTATCAATGGCAACTTTTTTTTATATGATGAAAGCTGTGCTTAAGACAGTATGCACAGAGTAGGCTCCTAGTTTGCCTTCTCAGTTTCAAGTAATAGCCTAAAATTCAGGTGAGTGAATATAAGCCAGTGATGATAGCTTCAGGAAGATCAGCAAGGCTAACACTTCAGCGGGGTTAAGGATGAGATGGAGAAGAGGCCACTGGATTAGTATTCAAAGTGTGATCCATGGATGAGCAGGAAGGAGGAGCCTGGTAGTATTTGGAAGCATGTTAAAAATGTAGGACCTCAGGCTAAGCTTATTGCAGACATACCATATCAGAACCTGAGTTTTAGGAAAGTCCTCAAGTCACTAGTTTATTCTTTCAGGTTTTAGAAGCACTGGTTTAGAAGAATTGAGAAAAGAGATTCCATAAAGTTGTAGCCAGATTGAAGTAGGTTGCAAGTTAAATCTTTCTTGGCTTTCATGCTGACCATAGAGAGAAGAACACGTTCTGTACTCCTTACTTGTGTGCTGCCAGTTTAGCTTTCAGTCTTATTTTCCTGTCCTCTGCCGTACGTTCCATTTGGTTTCTGCTCAGTAGATCTGCTCACCATACTTGAATGCTGCCAGTACCTTTGCACCTTTATTCCCAATGCCTGGAATGTCTTTCCCTAATTTTCTCTACCTATTGAAACTCTGCCACTTTTCAAGGCCTGACTTGAAAATCATTTTCTGCATAAATGCTCCCAGATGGCCTTGAAGCCACATCCAGTTTTAACATTCTTATTAGCATTGAATGATACAAGTAATAAAAATAGCTAACATTTCTGGAATAAATACAAGGGCCACGCCCAGTGCGAAGCTTTAACCGTGTATCAACATTTTAAATCCTCACCACACCTTCAGAATGAAGAAACATATCCAGAGGGCATAATTCACTTGCCTGTGGTTGCACAAGCATGCAATCATTTTTAAAGGAATAGGATAAGAGAAGAACTAGGAAAATACTATTCTCACTGGCAGATATTTTTAGAAGTTGGAGAGATCAAGTCTACTATCCTTTATTATCTTTTATTAGTTTACATCCCTTGAAACAACTTTTATCTACAAATACAATCCTTATAGTCTTTCTGCTGCATCATAATATCTTGCTGTCTCCAAATAATTCCATGTGTACAGGCACAAGATTATCATTTAGTGAAAAGAAAATTCTCATTACATTTAGGGCCTCTATGTGCAGTAGGGCAGATTGTGGACCGAAAAAGGGCTCTGTCCACTTGAGCAAGTGGGAGCTGAAATCCAGCCTGTGGTCTGATTCATAATCTGTGTATCCTAGAGCAGAGATGAGCCCAGTCCCCTGCGGCCCACATCATTCCATGGGTTTGCTCCCAGTGTGGCTCTGGAAAGTTTCCCTTTTATCTCTTCTTTGAAGCCAGGAGCATGGTTCCACCTCAGACCTTCCATTCTCCCTAGTGACCCATGTGGGTGCTTCCATGTGTTTGCAAAGCTTATGGTGTTTTTGTAAGGCATAGTTCGGGCGAGGCAGAAAAGGAAAGACGACCTCAACAGAAGTAGGTTACCTTTATTCAGGCAAGGAGGGGCGACAGTCGGCCTAATGACCAGGCTGGGGGCCGAGAGGGATCAGGGAGGCTTCATACTTGAGGTTTGTGGAAGCGGTAAGGAAAATGTCAATCAGGCGGGATATTTTGAGTATTCTTTTGTTGAGATGACATTTGTAGTTGGGCAGGGGGTGATAAGTCTTCTGGGCGGGTGTAGGGGGTGGAAGGTTTCCAGACAGGGGGTGATAAGTCCCAGGTAGATGCAACCGGCCTGGAGCATCAGAGTGGAACTAAAATTATACTTTGTTTTCTCCGATGTTAGATGATTTAGCAAGGGCCTTTGAGACTGTTGTTCTCTTTTCTAGGCCCAAAAGACTCCTTCGGTTTTTATTTCCCATGTCATGTGGGTGCTTTTTAGGCCCCCTCAAATGGGTATTCTACCCAAGTTCTCATAGGGCTCTGGCATTCAACTTTACAATTCTCCTGGGTCTCTAACGAAGTCCCCTGGCTCCCTGAGAAACTCTGCTCTTGCCCAGACCTGTCAGGCTCCCCACCAAGGGCACATCTAGATCCTGTCCACACTGAATTTTCTTCATGGTGACATCACTAGGACCCTTCTCCTCCTGCCTCCCCAAATCTGACACTCATATTCCTTGACATCTGCACGTCTCATTCCGAATTCTTCTTAAGGCGTGTCTTTTCCATCTGTCTTTTGCATGATCACTGTGCTGGCAGAACCCTGATTTATTTCCCCAAATTTCCAGGCTGTTGTTTCTTCCTCTGAAGCACCATCCTAGTCTTCTGTATCTTGTAAGCAAACATCCTACCACAGCTTCAATCATTGTTTTTATTTTGTTCATCGTGCTGGAGATGCTTGAGTCAAAGTATCTCAGAAATAAGTTTTCCAGTTTTGCACTAAACACAGTTCAACTACTTTGTATAGTTCATCTCATTAATCATCTTCAAGGGATCAAATGAGGAAATGAAATGAGAGACTTTTTCTGGAGGAGAGAAACCTGGGATTCATAAATCGGCTCCTGGGAGATAAACTATTGAGAGTATATGTAAAATGTACTTTATATTGATGGGAGAGAGTTCAAGGCTTTCAACCCAAAAAGATCACTAAAAAGGTAGAATAATTTCAAATCTTATTTTCAAAACTCGTCTCTTATATACCTTACATATCTCCATTTTCACAAGATTCCTACCTTTTCTTACCCTAACCCCAATCAGTTAAAATACAGTTAAAAGAAATGCCTTAATAGGCAGTGTGTATACTAGTAGTTCTCTGGATTTTAATTTGGGCTTGGTAATAAAAGGGCTGATGCACTGGGGGGGTAATC